CATGTCTGGTTTGGAGGCTGCAGAAGAGAAGCTGGTAAGCTGGAGGTAGTCCAGTGGAGAACCATGTAGATGTTTGGAAGCTGGAGCTCACAAGCCAGGGAGTGCTTTACAGGCTTGTTCAGCCTAGAGGAGAGAAGGCTTTTGGTGTGGGGGGAGCTGACTGCAGACTCTCACTACTGAAGGGGGATCGTTATAGGGGTGGAAGTGTTAAAGCCTATGCAGGGGTGTGCAGCAACAGGACAAGAGGTTGCACAGGTTGCAACAAGAGCAATTCTTGCTGGGTAGAAATAAAAACTTCCGACAACAGGAGCTGTTAACAAGGAGCAGGTAGTCCCATGTGTTAGGCGTGGCTGGCACAGCTTGGTGCAATTTCTGTTGCTGTAGGTATGAGAATTTGACTGGAAAATGTGCTGAGCAATTGGTTCCAGGTTTGAAATTAGCCCTGCTCAGAGCAGGGGATGGACTAGAGACCTCCAAAGGCCCCTTCCTACTTTGACTATTCAGTGATTGCATGCAGTGTATGCATTGCACACATTACAATTATGCATGCTTGGCAAAGGAGAATAAAATCTTAAACCAGTATTATCATCATTCCTATTGAATTCACTTGTATGATTATTTATAAGCATTCAGTTTTCACTATGCAGTATTGTATTTTCCTGAAGATCTCTGGTTAGAAACAACAGCATTAAGAGCTACCCTGTCCCTGCTTAACATGGCACTCTTGGCTTGATAGCAAAACCTGCCCATTGAGTGCCCATCTGTATTCGTTCTGTCCTCCTGAAGTGCTAATCCTGTTTACCCTCTCGCCATAACCTCAGTAAGTCTGTTTGTTTGCTGATTAGCTCTAGCCTTGATTATTCCCTTTAAGCACTGAGAAAACATGCTGAAAACAAGGTGTACACATGACAAAACTCAAATAAACAGAATTATCAAGGAAATGCAAGAGAAAGTCCAGAACGCAGTACTGAAGATGCAGAGACGTCCGTTCAAAGACATTAGTCTTAGATGGAAATCAAGAGGAGATTTAGGTGAGTAATGTGGAAAACCTGGGAAATATATAGGTGCCTGTGATAAGGGATTTAGGTTTTTCATCTTATGATAGCTTATCAAACACCACTTACTTCAGTGGAGCTGCACTGATTTATTCTGGCTCATGGCCTTGTAGTTTGTAAAATCAGCAGCAAATACGCAGTGGGCATGGTTTGGATTTCTTCAGGCAACACGCAACCTTTTAAATAAATACTCAACACAGTATGTTGCTAGAGGAGGACCAGTTGCAGGAGAGCCAAAGGGCTTCACACAGTCTCACACAGTACAGCTCATAAAAATGGTGCCACTTTATTTTACTTATGACTGATCCCATGAGTAAAACAGCCCATAGTATTTTGTCCTATGCTTATTCCTGTGTTAAGCTGATAACCCTTGTTTAGTTGCCACAGAGCTTTTGAAAAACATGTCCTGCCTAGTTTTAAAGATATCAGGTGCTTATATCAAGTCCCTAGGCCAATTGTTTCAGTCGTTAATTACTCCTCAGTATTAAAAGAAAGCAGTGCTTAATGTGGCCTGGATTTATGCAGCCTTATTCCCTGGCCATTGGATCTTTCTGTGTCTTTGTGTGCTGGGTTAAGGAATTGCTGGCAACTGAAATGTTCTCCCTGAGAGTTTAGAGACCAGCAAGATTTGCTGAAGCTTTTAGGTTTCATTGTGGCTTTCTTACCAAAGTCCATGTTTCCCAAGACAATAGTCTAAACAGCTTTAAAACAGACTCTGCAGCCCATGTTTATCTGGCTAGCTTTCCCCTGAACCCTTGTTCCTGTTGGCTTCACCATCTCTGTTTCTACAGAAGTGTCTAATTGATGAGAGTGACCAACAGAGCTGTAGAAGGAGTTTAGGCACACTGCATTCGAGAACATCTTTATAGAAGGATATCAGGGTCTATCCTAAGCAGGGTTATGTGTAACAATATCTGGGATTTCATTTGATTATTATTGCTGGTTTAGTTACAAATAACACATAAAATAAGTTTATGAGTATACGTACAGACAGTGTGCAGTAGTAATGAATTCGTATCATTAGTGTGATGAAAATAGCGGTTGTCTAAATGAATATGGAAACATGTTCATTTAATGTGGACTTCTGGTGTCAGATGGCTGAAGTTTTTAGAAGTAAGTATTAGATGTGTGTTATCTGCCCAACACACTATCTTCTATTTTCACTTGTCTGGTTTCTTTGGTAAATTTATGAGATTGAATGGTAAACCCTCCATGGCGGGGGTTGGAACTAGATGATCTTAAGGTCCTTTCCAACCCTGTTTATGATTCCATGATTGGAACAGTTTCAGTCTGTCCTATAGAGCAAAGCTGAATCTTATAGGTGTTCTGCTTTGCCACAGACCTGTCCAAGGGTATTAGCACATCTTGCCTACTTACACTCGTATTGTCTGTTAATGCTGTTAACAAACTTCTAAAGATGTTCCCTGCATATGGTGCCACCTTTGGAGTCAGTGCTCAAGTCTGTTCCTATTGGGCCATCACTTGTTTGTAGCAGAGCAGCTGATAAATACCACAATGCATTTTTAGCAACATGGCACATTGTTCTCCTGCCATGTGTATGAGGCAGGAGAATGCTGATCTGCTCTCTGCACAGTAGTAACTCCCCCAATGACTGTTAGGAGTAATTAAAATGGCTTTTCCACAATGAAAAACACATTGTAATACCTAATTAGGAGAACTTTTGGACAAAGAATCTCATGCCTGATGCTATCCCATCTCCCTCTGACAAAGGTGGTACTGTGGGACAGGCTTTGCAGCTTTTTAACTTGCACACAGTCCAGCCTCTCTGGCAGATCAGCAGCAGGCTGCCTGCCTGCAGGTCACAGCTGCCTCTGCCTCTTAAAAATGCAGCACTGCTGGAACTTCAAGTGCTAATTGCTGACACAACCTGAATTACAGAGTCATATACTGAGAACTTCTACTGTTGCACGGGGAATTATTTACAGTAGAGAAGTGTGTGAATACTGAATTCTCTGAGTGATTTCTGGGTGGATTTCATATTTAACTTACAATAACTACCTTGATAAAAGCCCTGAGAGAATAATTTTATCTTGTAGCTTTTTCATGATTGCTATTGTACGGGTTATCGATCTTGCACTTTTCATTTAGATATGTTAAATAGGTTTTTTCTTCCATTAATAATAAGAAAAATTCCCCTTTTTTGCATACTTTTCAGAATTAAAATTACTATTAACATTATTTGGCTCTCTGGTTGTGAAGGGAATTTCAATGATGTGAGCAAGAAAGTTAATTTCAGTTTTAGAAGTCACTCAAAGGAGAATTGGTGGGATGGGTCTTGCCTCTGCAGATACATGAGTGGTCTGCAATGATAAAATCCTTTTATTTTTGCAGAAAAAAAGTTTTGGAAACTCCAACAAGTTCCTGCCTGCCCTAAAATTAATGTTCTTATCCTGTTAAACTCTTAACATTTGGGCTGTTAATGTAGCCACAGTTCTGTAGACTCTTTAGAGACTTGAGATTAGTGGTGGTAGAAGGTCTAAGCATCCCAGCAGGAATGAGTGCAGCAGTTTGCACTGCAGGACAGCAACAGGTCTGTTCCTGGGCTTTCCAGACTGACTGGGCGGCTTCTTTTGCAGTTCATGTCATCTTTGTGTCCCTGTCATCAGTGCTCTCAAGAGGCAATCTGCTTCCTGTGACATGGCTGGCATGGTTTGAACTAAAACAGCAGTTAGGAGATACGGCAAACTGGATTTTGGTTTTCTGTTGTGAAACAACTGACTCTACCCCTCTGCTCTTTGTCTGGATTCTTCTTTCAGCTCCCATATGGAAGCTACAATTCTTCTCTTTTTGAACCTTGTCTGGTCCCAAATTACTGCACAAGCCTGCTGCCCTTTTTCCTCCAACACCAACCCTACAGCAGGCCCAAATGGGCTTACAGATATAACCCAGGTGAAGCATTTCTAGAGGCCAACTTTACCTTAAGGAGGCTAATCTCACAAGGTACCCTGTATGGTCCATGGAGAGAAACTCAAACTCTCCCCAAGGAGCCCAGTGGGGAATGTGTTGTGGGGTTAATAGTTACTGTGTTAGTCCAGTGCAGTAGCCTCTCTTGTTCGTTCTGAACCCCTCTCTGAAAGGCCTTGCCGCATCCATCACAGAAGTAGAAAACTGAGATTCTACCATAGATAAAGAATGTTATTGGGTCCTATCTCAGTTTTCCCCTTTTAGGTAAAGTATGCAAATTCTTGCAGTGATTTCCACATAGATTTTGGTTTTGGGATCTCTGATCCTTTTCCCTGCTCCCTGCTGAAGAGAGCAGGAAGATTGTTTCATGTACCTCACAGTCAAAATAAGGCCTCAGTCCTATTTAATTTTGTGTTAATAAACAAGTCCTGTTTTATTTTGGTGATTGGGGGTAGAGCTTTCATTTGTTGAATTGACTCATTGAATTGAAATCATTTTCAATTCCAAGTCTGTTCTCTGATGGATGTGTTGCTCTTCCCTGGTTGGTGCAGATTTAATAAGCATGCTATCTGTTTTATCATCCATATCATTAGTGGAAATATTGAATAGTCCTAGACCCAGGGTAGCTCCCTGTGGAACACATGGGTCCATACTGCTATTTTAATGCTGAAACATTCATAACTGCTTTCCAAGTACTGCTTTTAACCACTTTTGCATTCTCTGTGCAATGTGAAACTCCCATGCCTCTTTAATTCAGCTATAAGACTACTATAAAAAACAGTGTCTAAAGTCAGGATATGTGACATCTGCTCCCGTTCTTATACCTACAAAACCTATCACCCTCTCACAGGAACAAATTATTTTAGTTTGACGCAATTTGTTCCTATGAAATCCGTGGTGGCTGCTGCTCAAGCCCCACTTCCTGCTCGGTGTACATATTCAACATGCTCGGCTATTTGTTCCAGTTTGTTTTTTCTTTTCCCAGGATTTCATGTTGCTTTTATTTCTTTTTTTTCCTCTCAGAGAAGGAGACAACCAAGAGCTGTGAATCTGGAGAAGCTGACACTGATAGTGCCCATCCCACACGTGAGTACTGTTTGAGATAGAGGGAGGGATGGTTTTGTGTGAGGACCCGAGGCAGAAGCTCTCTCCTTCAGTCTGCCACGTTTCCAGAGTGACAAATTTTAGTGACCCAAGGCTCTTTGCAGCAGGTTTGCAGATAGGCCTTCCTTGCTCACACAATTCTCACTAGCTTTTGGGTAGTATTTATTTTGTACATCGCTGTGAGTCAGGGACTACTACTAGCTCAGAACTGACCCTGATTTTCAAGTCTGATTTACTTTCAGGTATAAACCTTACAGGCAGTTAGAAAATGAAAGCTATCTTATAGAAAGTGGTGGTGTTTTCTCTCTTTTCCTCAATTCCCTCCCCTATAAATGAGGTCAGGAATGTTATGAAGCTAACATCATTAATGGTTGCAAAGTGTTTTGAGATCCCTGAATGAAAAGGCTTATATAAGCGGAAAAGTCTTATTAGGATAATTATAATTGCCAACTGTACTGGCACAATATAGATCACTTAATGAGTTATTTGGCTTTTCCTTTCTCTTTTCCCCTCAGCTCCCCAAAGCAACATAAACAGACTGATTTTAATTGGCAACTTTCGTTTCTAGCAAATGGACTTTCACTGAAGTTCAAGCTCAGCAGCAGCATTTAGAAAATGCAAGTTGGTTTCAGATCAAGTGGAATTTGCAAGGCTATGGTAAAGAGGAAAGTTTCTATGCTCTTTGAGCTAGAGAAGCACACACTGAACCTGCCTTTTGAATTATGAGCACTTTTCTCTCCATTACCTTGCAGTGTGTTCACTGCAAGAGCTGTGCTCAGCTGTTGACAGATTCTTGCGACTAGTATGATGAAGGTGAGTTGATGACTTAGGCTGGCAGCTAACATGATATAGCTAATGGTCTCTGGGGAGGGAAAGAAATCCCCTTTGTATTTTGATCTCCCACTGCTGTGATTTACTGTCTTGTTTTTGCCAGTGTTTCACTTGTGTTGGTTTGAGTATGTGGCCTTCTGGAACTGACCCAGAGGTGGGATAAGGAAACCAGCTCTTGCTGTTTTATTAGGACTTACAGGACTATTGATAATCATCTGGCTTCCTTCCTGTAAAACTTCAGCTGCAGTAACTCATGTTCATCCTTGTGACTGAGAATTGGCTTCTTAAAGCTTTATAAAAGTGGATTAAGAAAACTGTTAGGAAATGATTATCTCCTTGTAAGTATCATTATCTTACAGTCAGTAATACCAAAGCTTAAATCAGTAGGAGTTTACTTTATTATCATTACTGCTATAAATACTTAGCTGGAACTTAAGCTATAGATCTGTCCTGTTCTGCTGAATGTTTTTTCAAACACACAAGGGGTGAAATCTCCACCCTATAAAACAATGTAGCTCAAAAGGTTACTCCCCAGCTTTTTAAGTTCACTTTCATTCCTGCTGTCAGCATGGGGGGAGAACAGAGCTCTACAAATGAAACCAGGGGCTCCTGAATCCTAGTGTTGAGGAGAAAGTGTCTTTGCTCAGCTGGGAAACCAGGCAGAGACTGGTTCCTTGCTTACCCATTGCTGATCCAGGTTTAGTGCTTAAGGGGCTGTGACAGGAATCCTCAGCAAACAAGAGCAGCCCAATGGACTGCTGCCCCACTCATGTTATGCTGCTGAGTTGACAAACCCTTGTGGAATACCCCAAAGTGAAATGATGCCCAAATAGGCACCTTTATGGCAGTGTCAAAGGGTGGCGATAATAATTCGTTACATCTTGAGTGAGTAGTGTGGCATAGCCCCACCACACTGCATCCAGTTGTCAGGATGTCAAGTCCCAGTCTATATTTGCTGCTTCATCAGTATTTTGTTCTGGACAGTGCTGGCAACCATCCCACTCAGCAGTGAAACAAAGCCACAGCTACTACTCAGTTCAGCTTTCAAGAGCAGCCAGAGTTTTTCAGGTATTATTCTTTAGGATGTCATGTTTACCTCTGGATAAATCACAGTGGACTCTATCATGCTTTTAGTACATGGGGGATGTCAGATGCATAAGTCCTGAGTTGTGCCTGGGGGTCCTTCTGAAGCAGCAGAATGGGCTGGGTTCTGCCTGTTTCCCTTCCTAGCCCCCATACACTTGTTGGATAGGATGGCTTACGCTAGAGCTACTGTCAGGTTTTTGCTAGAACAAGTTAAGAATTTAAATCTTAACTGCTATCCTTACCAAAGATAATGCTGATGTTTACAGCCCCTTGAAACCCTTAGATAAATGTACTATGCCCATAATTCCTGCCTTGAATCCAGAATGTTACAGCAGGAATTACATCCCACGGAAGAATATCAGCTATATGCTTGCTACAGCAGAGCCCTATGGCATGTTTAATTAGCTGTATATCTTACTTGTGCATGTGTGTACGTGTTGTGTCAAACAGCACTCTGACACGAAAGTCCCGGGTCATCACTGGGTCCCTTAGGGGAATGCTGCTTCATCTCTGCTCTCTGTTCAGTCTCAGACTTCCCACCCTTGTGCTTCATACTCAGTATAACGTTCCCAGTCCTGTTGGGCTGGAACATTGTCACCCTTGGCAGAGTCTAGTTGGACGTTTTGGGTACAGCTGTGGGAACTTTGTGTGTCTGTTTCTGCAGTTAGCTGTTGTGCTGGCTAAGCCCGGGGCTGATGCGATGCCACACACTGCAGCATGCTGCTCTGCACCACAGCCCTGCAGTAAGCCCTAGTGGTTTGGCACTGCCCTAAGAGTCTTACCTTGCTCTAGGCCTCCTCAGCTCTGTACAGCATCTGCATAGCAGCCCTAAGAAGAGTTTGGGTATTTTAAGATACCCAATCTGAGGTGCCTTTGTTCTGGTCAACCATACACAGGAGGAAAACCAAGACTTAAAACTTCTGTTCTGTTTGATTCCCAGAGGTGTGATCTCAGTGTGCAGAACATGGCTTTATCTTCACTAGGGCATTTTCCACTGTGACAAGTGCCTTCAGTCTCTGCCTTGAGCAAGTTTCCATTAAATGCTTCATCTCACCAGCCTGGTGGCTCAGCATCATGGGGACCTGTGTGGCAGAGTGGATCATTGTTGTTGCAGACTCAGTGCCATTCCTGGGGGCTCTGGGTGCCATGTATGAGAATGAAGAGGCATCTATATAATTTGGGGAACATTCTGCCTTTTCTTGGCATGAAATGTTCCCATTCCCTTATTTTTTTTTTTAATAGCATCCCTCCTCACCTCTTTCTCCCAGCTTTTGCAGCTTTATGTACAGACTTGGACCAGGACTCTGTGGATGAGAAGAGTGCTGATGCGTGGCAGGTCCTGCCTGCTACTGGCCAGAGACTGCCCAGAGTAGCAGTAGGAAAAGCACTTGACAAATAGTGAATATAAAAGAAATGGAAGAGAACTGACATCATGTGGTGGTTGGATACTGGAGAGAGACTTTTCATCAGGGGCTGTAGTGATAGGACAAGGGGTGATGGGTTCAAACTAAAACAGGGAAAGTTCAGGTTGGATATAAGGCAGAAGTTCTTTACTGTGAGGGTGCTGAGGCGCTGGCACAGGGTGCCCAGAGAAGCTGTGGCTGCCCCATCCCTGGCAGTGTTCAGGGCCAGGTTGGACAAAGCCTTTGGCAACATGGTCTAATGTGAGGCATCCCTGCCCATGGCAGGGGCTTGGAACTGGATGATCTTAAGGTCCTTTCCAACCCAAACCATTCTATGATTCAGTGGGGATCCAGCAAGTCCTAATAACCCCAAAATGTGAATGGAGAAGTTCTGAAACTTCAAATCTTTCTGATTTTCCCCTTTTTATTTGTTAAAGAAAGAGGAAATTCTCAGTTCATTCCTGTGGTTTGCAAACAAAAACGTGTTCGATGTTTTGTTTCCTTTCAGAAAGGTATTTCTTTATTTCAATATTGACCTACCAATTTAAAAAGAGAAGGGGTTTAGAAAAAATATCGATAACGTGGAAATGAGGTGAAGGATTTTGTGTTGGACTGAAAGGAGCATTTTACCTAAAATGACATTTGAAGTATTTCCTTGTTGAAAGATATTTTCATTTGGACTGGACATAATGATTTTGTTTCAGCATTACAACCTGCTGCATAATTCCAGAGGGACACAAGCAGGGAAGACTCCAATAGTTGTTTATTAGCTATGGACAGTGAAGCTAAGGGGGTTAATTCTTGGACTTGGGATTTCTTCTGCTGTTTTCCCATGTGTTACGTGTTTTGGCTAATCTTTGCTCCTTGCTCCCTCACATTAACTCTTCTTTAAGCATCAATTTAATTGTGGACCTCACAGCTATTTTTGTTTTCTCTGTGTGTATTTGCTTTATTTTAATTGTTCTGCCTACAAATTATTGAATCTCTTTGGGTATCACCAATGAGAGGGAAATGTGGGTCAGGACTGGGCCAGCAAGTGCTGAAGGCTCAGCTGTGGCGTTCCTAAAGGTGTAGCAAACAGGAGACATTAGCAATGAGTAAGAGAAATGATGATCAATTTGCCAGGACTCTGAGGTGCCTAGATTCAGTTCAGGGTAGTATTATGCCAATAACTAGTGTGAGAAGTAAACCCCGCCATGGACACCTTGTGGTCTAGGTAGACATGCCAGAATAAACAGGTAAAACAGCATATTGGACAGGTCTGAGGTGGGATTGCAGTACCAGGAGATAGAGGTACTTCCTGGGAAGTAGGGGACTGTCAGCAGTGCAATGCTGGCTGCAGGGGCCCAAGTGTGTGCCCATACCATCAGGAGGGATGGGGCACTGGGAGGGACCTGTGGGAGATCCCTGCTGCCCTCACTGACTGCGAACAAAAAAGCCAGAAGGCAGAGTGCCATTTTGTACAGTCAGTCTGCTGTTATCCTGATCTCGCATGACAAATTGGTGTTCCCGTAGTGGCAGCAGAGTAATCAGACTGTGACAAATGGTTTACTTAGAGCAATTTGTTTTCATTTTACTGAAAATTTCCACAGTCTTAACAAAAGGTTCCCCCCGCCTCCTCACTCCCAGTGCCTCCTTCTTCCTTTAATGGCATTTGCATGA